TACCATGCAGAGAATAATATATTGCATATATCTACACAGCAAGCAGAGTGTAAGGAGAAACAAAAAGGATGTGTCTTACATATAATATGGAGATTCTTTTGTTTCTGGAGAAGCCATGATTAGGACTCCAGATTCAAACCAGCTGGATTCATCTACTATGTCCCAGTTGAAATCATATTCCATGAACAGGAAATAGTAAGTCTCGGGTTTTCCCAAATTGATGACTGCGAGCTAGAGTATCTTTCTATATATGGGAAAGATATATTTCCAAAGGGAAATGGAATCATGGATTTGAAAACTGCTGGGGAGGCAGATTTAGCCTTTGCATGGGCCATGGGTTACCTGAGCTAAAGAAAGCAACTTTTCAGTTTGGTTGTAAACAAAACTGAAATTGACTGCCGCTTTGGTCCCTGCATGAAGGGATATCACTAAGTGGTCCATCACATGACCCATGTGACGTAACTTTACCAAAGGGAAATAATCAGCTTCGGTATCTTTACAAATGTAGTGGATTCAACTGGAATTCAAACTAGGCTCTCCAGTTCCTCAATCAGAATCATTATCAACTACATCTCTGTAGAGATGTCCTTGTTCATACATATGGTATATGTAAAGTTCTATTAACAATATTTAAGAAACTGATATTTGTGTTATTTCCCTATTTTGTTTAATTGCAGTAGGACATAGTGGTACCTGGATAGAGGTAGTATCTTTGATGTCTGGTACACTGCACTTTCAGGTGGATGAGTATCATTGGTCCTCAGCCATCTTTTAAATTTCTCATGTGATGGCTGTAAATTGCCATGCCTTGGTAAACTGTCTCAGCTGGCAGGCTAAACTAAAATGTGAGAGTGGTGTTTACACAGCACCTCTGGGTGAAGGACCTCCTTGATGCAGGTCACCAGCCAGAGCAGAAATGTTCCTCAGGTGAACAACAACAGCCATGTGATTGTGACCAAGGTGAGCCTCTTAGTTAGAGGATATTATCTAAGCTGGAGAGGGATGGTCTCTGCCAGGTAAAAATGCTCAAGATACACCACATGATGAGCACACCAAGTTACCATTCATAACAATTTAAAAATCTAAACCTCAATGTATATTTACAATATGAGTTTATCTATTTACAAGAAACTAAATAAAATACCGTTAGTAATAACAAAAAACAAAAAAAAACCACATACCTCTTTTGGGTCAGCAGGAGTTGAGTTGTGTTGAATGGTATTTTCTTTTATTGTTGGCAATCAATGGACCAAACCTTCCAAGGTGAGAGCGGCTAATGACTTTGAGTTGCTGACTTCAGTTTTTCTCTTCTCTTGGAGTCTCAACATTAGGCCCATTATGCTTCTTTTTAATTACATGTGTGTGTTTATACATATGTTTACCTGTAGGAAAGATCACAGTGACTGTGAGAATATGTTGATACCCTTTTTAGTGTTATGCACTGACAAAAATGTTTGTTGAAATTTTGGGGGTACGACAGTCAGAAGAATAAAACTTTTGCTTGAAGTAGAGCCAAATACACAAAGTTCAAAGTTAATGCAATATTTTTTGTTCTTTGTTTGATAATATAGGAATACAGAAGGTGCTTATCTTCTTTTAGTGGAGATAAGTCATGTGGTCGCATGATAACTGCTTTGTGACATCATTCCACACAGTGAACAAAGTGGCAGTCATTTTTCAGTTTGTGAACAGCAACCAAACAGTAAGGTTGCTTTCTTTTAGCCTGAGCCCTTTGTCACAGGCTGAGGCTAAATGTGCCTCCCAAGCAGCTTAGAAGCACATGATGCCATTTCCTCTTGAAATATAGATGAATCTGGCCCATTTAAATCTGGAGTCCTAAGTATCTCCAAATTATATGTAAGACTTTTCATTTTTGTTCCTTCTTATACTTTGCTTTGCTGTGTAGATATAAATGATATATAGTTCTTCATGTGGGACATGTGTATCTATATATTGGTTTTGTGTATGTCTTAGTAATATAAAAGTCTCTTTGAGAACAAATCATGTTTGTTATTCTTCTTCCTTCCCTGTCAGGGCTGGATTAAGACCCATAGGGGTCCTAAGCACTTAAAAGATTTTAGGGCCCCTATACACCTGCGAGTTAAGTATGCTAGTATGGAGTCTTGATAAGTAGTGCAAATAAATAAAGGCTACCAACTGAGAATGTGCATCATGGAAACACTAGCTGGAAATAAATATAGAATGAACTGAAGGCACATATGACCGTCGAGAGAGGCTGACCATCAGTTCCAACCCAGAACAATACCGACCAAGAAAGAAACAATCACAGCTGTGCAACTGCTGTCAAATGAGCCACGATCAGATTCTAACAAAACTGTGATTACAAGTGGTTGTGTCATCAACAAACCAGCATGTTACATATAAAGATATGGCTAGAATAATGCCAAACAAACATGAAGGTAGTCTACCTCTGTTCACAAAATTAAATTCCATTAAGTTAGTAATACTAACTTATTTAAGAGAGATGGGTTGTATTGAGTAAATACAATCTTCATTATTTCCCTTAGCTCATTCCTTTATTAACCAATCAGAATGTCAATAAAGATTTGCTGCAGGTCAGTTGTCCCCACTTCATAATGGTACCCTGTTGATTCAAATGTTAATCGTGTTTGACTTATTTCTTTAGATGCTTACAACAACATCATATCATTACAATTTCTGTGGTGTCCCTTCCCTTGATGCCCTAGCACGTTCTTATTTTGCTCAATGGTTAATCCAGCTCTGCTTCCAGTCATTCCATTCCGTCCTGTCTGTGAACTAAGGTATTATTATATCACGGAAATAATAATGCCCATAATGGGGGAAACGTAGATAGGAGAATAAATCTTTCTTTCCAAGAGATCTCATTACACTGATGACACCACAACATGGTATTTTTTACCCAACATGTGATATTATCATCCATTTTTTAATCCAGATGTATGTGTGCAGTAAATGTACAAAATGAATTCTTACATATCAAGTGAAAAGTTTAACAGTTAATGTCATGTGATCGGGGGATGAAATCAAAATAAAATTGATTGAAATACTTATCTGATGTTAATAAAATTCTTCTGATGGATACATGTTCTTGCATGATTCAGGTTTGTTCATGGCCAGCATCACCTGTTTTTGGAGTAGGCTAAAATCATGTCCGTTCAGGTTGTGGTCTTCAGGGCCACTCAGCTTTGTCACTTAAATTCCATTTGGCGGCTAAATTTGAGTTTTACCCATTATTACCAGATAATTGGACCTATCTCCCCATCAGCAGGTCTTATCAACCAAGGGGACATAACCTATATTTTTTTATATGTTTTTGGTAAAGCCTGATTTTTTTTCAGAAAGAGTAAAATTTTGTGTTTTTTTTTAAATTAAAAGGATGTCATAATTCAATTACACAACACAGAGAATCTAAACCTAACAAAAATTATCCCAAAGATTGTTTCATATTGGTGTTAAAATCTGAAAATGCTTGCTGTAGCAGTTTAAATATTATTAAAAAATGCAGCAAAATTGTGATAAAAAGTACTGGCCACACACACACACACACACGGATTTACATATTACCTTGAAGAGTACCATGTGATTTTTATCATGCTTCTACAGCCTTAATTTTGCCACTCTGTGCCTTTTCAATAAATACTTTCATGGTAATTGTTTGGGTGAGCTCTTTGCTATAGTCAGATTGTAAATACTCATTGGGGCTAGTTTTAAAATTGTTGTTTTATTTCTCTCACCCCCACAGACAACGAACTGTACATATGGGGACTAGTTAGGATTTTCATAGAGACAATGAGGTATTATAGTGGTTGTAGTAAGAAAGGTAAGTAAGAATGTGTTGTTTTGGTGTTAGGAATATTGTGGTAAGTTTGGGTCAGTGTTTGTGGCTAGCTAAGTTTAACGCTAAGACAAGAAGCAGACTGTTCTTTTCTTCATTCCCCATTTTTGGCGTTGTGCCACATTTTCTGTAAATAAATGGAAATAAATATCGCTCTTTGCTATGGTACCTAGACTTTTTGAACACTGGCACTCATCAAGATCTCATCAATTTACAGTTGAGCTAGCTAGATATAGCCATAGTTTGCTAGTAGTTTCTTTTCTTGTACTTCTTGCACTTCTTGCTTGTGGAGCTCCCTTCTGACTCCATGCTTTCCAGCCAACTTTAATCTGAAAAAAATGAAATGCAATGTCAATTGCTATCTGCTGTCCTCATGATTACTCTTTCTTTTTCCTGCTCATTATTAATATTTTTGTTCCTAATTTTTCCACACCCTCTAAGCCCTTTGTGTCTTAGTGGCTTTACTGCCTTGCAAAAAAGTTGCAGTGTGGTCTAAGTTTAATTCTCTGTTTAAAATAGTTTCCTTTTTAAACAAATGCTTAAAAATAGTCTCAAATATTTTCAATTTGGAACCGTTGAAATTTTAAAAGATGATATCATGGCTAATCAGAAAAAATATGTAAAATATTTTAATTCCATCTTATTACCATTTTTAAGTACAAATTTCCAAGGGAAAAACTTTTTTGTTTGACCCAGGTTAAGGAAAAGGGAGATAACTAAGAAAAACCTAGTCTTTTATACTGTCAGCTTGTGCACATGATAGACCTTTTCAAATTACGGATGAACAAAGTTAATTTTAATTTGAAAAATGTTGTTCTTAGAATTTTATCCATTAATCTTAAAATATAATATTAAATAATTATAGATTTTAATAAATAACTAAAGATATTTGCTTTCTATAGCATATTAAATGAATTTTCGTATTTGTGTAGTTTTGGTTTTTCGAAATTACACACTTTTTGGCCTTCTGTATTTGAAAGCAGGCGATTGATTACGACATCTGTTTTCCCAGAATGCAATGTCAGCTATGGCGGTGAACGCGAAGAGTCCAGAAATGTGTTCAAGACTTTGTTTCGTTTGACAACGCCTCTCTGTTTTATCTGGGATATTAGAAAAATATCTCCCATAACCCGTATTCGGTTGGTGCAGCATCTAGCTCATAATGGTTCGTAGATTTGTTGTTTTATCCTACATGCGACTTCGGGACATTGTCATTTTTTTCTTTTGACAGGTATGAGGTTGTTAGCAAAGAAAAAATATTGTGACAAGACGTGAGAGAAATTTGTCTTTCTTTCTATAAGACTTGATTTCTTTTTTTGTTTTAAAGATTTAACTTTTTATGGCAATTTGCCAACACTTTTTTGATTTAAAACTTACCTCTTGTTCTTTAGAGTGATGTTTTTTTTTTCTGTATTTTTAAAAAAAAATTTTGGTGGGGGTCAGTTTTTTTAATTAATACGTTTCATGATGATCTTTTTCCCCACATTTTTTGGAGGAGATTGCCAAAATGTGGACATCTAGTTCCGTGTATTTTCCCACCTTTTTATTTTATAAATAAAAAAAATAAAATAATAGAAAAGAATAGTTTTTTTTTCTCTCTCTCTCTCTCAATAATACCCAGTTACAAAATTACTTATTGTCTCAGAAGTTTCCAAAACCCATCTTCCTTCATAAGTTTTCAACATTTTCCAAGTAAGAATCAAAAAAGGAATTTTTAATAAATTATTTGTTTTCTGAACAATATTTTCAAATTTAGTTCGATTTTTAATTCTTCATCAAATAATTAAAAAAATATTTGCTTCGTTTCTGTTTTTTTTTAATTTATCAGCTTTTTAAAGAATGTAGATTAGTTTTTTTTAACAGATTTTATGATGAATACTTTTCCTACAACAAATATTAAGATTTTTAAAACGTTTTAGTTTCATTGTTTAAATTTTAAAACAACTTAATTTGTTTTTAAATCAATTTTAAAATTGGTAATTCGTTTGTGTAAAACAGCTTTTTCAAGTTTATGGTTCTTTTCATTTTTTCATTTTTTTTTTTTTTCAAGTTAAGTTTTTAAAATCTAAAGAAAAACAATTTGTCAAAAAAGCCTTTTTAGTTTTTTAGTTTATTAATTAAACATCCCATTTTTAAATTAAAATGTGCTTTTATTGTTTGAATTATGATTTTGTAAAAACATAACATTTTTTTTTAGATTTGCTCTGTAAATTTTACAAATAATTACTTGAGATAAAAAAATAACTTAATTGATTATCTTTGATTTATTTTTTTTCAGAGGGATTGTCATTATTGAAATTTGGTTCGTTTTAAAATTGAAATGATGAAACTTGTAAGTTTCGATGTAAGAAAAAAATCGCACATTAAAAAATTAAAAATTAATTCTCTAATTTATATATAAGATTGTTTATTATTTTTTAGATGATTCATTTCTTAGTTACAAGCAGACTATTGTCCTCATCTTTTTGTTGTTAGTTAGCACGACGTTTCCAGCCGTTGTGCCCTCCGGCCTTCATCAGGGGTATGTCGATTCTGGTAATCTACAAGGAATTCTGAACTGAACCCGTTTAATATTCTAAGAAAAGAACACTTCTCATTCCACTGACCACATTTAGTGTTCCGTTTGGTTTCTCAGTCTTGGTTATTGCTCAGTTATTTCTTGCCCTGTTTTCAAATACACACTGCCCAGTTCAGGAATTAAACACACAATTACTAATTATTATTATTATTATTTTTTTATTATTTGATAATTGATAGATAACTTGAGTTTATGAAATTTAAACCTAATTAAAAAAATTCCCTCTTGAAAAGCGTACCATATTTTAATTTTAAAAATTAAAATTAAAATATGGTGCACTTTTTTTCTTTTTTTTTTTTAAACCGTGTAAATCTGTGTCTGTTTGTGCATTTAAAAGTCTTCAAGAAAAATTCACACACAAAAAAAAAAAGCTATCTTCAACGTGTATTCACTAAATATAATGTTTAAATGTGTGTATTTAGGCAACATTTTTCATTGATAGAGGTTTCAGTAAAAATGACAGAAGAGGCTTGTTGAAAATTTTCTGTTTTAACTTGGTCAGTGGGCCCAAACTCTTGTACATAAACAAGAAAAGTCAGCTAAAAAAAAGTACAAAAACAAAACGATACTTGTCTGTTGTCGTTTAATCCAAATGTAGTTGAGTATCCTTCATCTGAAATTCCCAAATTTGAAGGTTTTTCAGATGCTGACATGATTTGCCACAAATGGAAAATTTCAGAAAGCACTGGGCAGGTTCTTGGGTGATTTGTAGCTGTTGTAAGAGGCCTCATCTGCCCTGGGTGAAGTTCCTCAGCCCAATTATGTAGCTTATGTTGGTGCCAGTTTTTTTGTTAGTGATCGACATAGCAACAGCTTTGTTCATGGGTTACTTACCACTTACCAGGAGGTGTTTTGTGCTCAGTAAAGATGTTAATCAAAAAAATCATGCATTTTTATATATATATATATATATATATAACGTCATCCACAGACTGTTTTGCTGTTTCACAGCTCATCAGTGTGGCTAGACATCCGGTTGCCTCTAGCTAGGATCGAAACCTGACTGAATTGGTGTCAGTCGGAGATTCTAACCATTAAGCCGTCGTCGCACAGTAGGGATGAAAGTGGATTTTTTAGCGTATTTTTAGAAACATGCCCAGTGACCGACAGTGACTCAATTCGCATCTGCGAAGAGTCTCGCTATATAGCTATAATAGCCACTGTTTACCAATATATATATATATATATATATATATATATATATTTATATTTATTTTTTTTTTTTTTTTTTTGGTAAGTAATCATCATGTTTTTTGTACATGTACAGAAAGAACAAAACATTATTTTTACATAAAAACTTAATTAAAACTTAAAAATCCGTGTGAGCACTACATGTGTAATGTCATTATCTGTGTGTACACAAAATTTATTAAATTTTATATAAAACTACTTTCAGGGTGTATGTTGTTTATATAAAACTACCTTCAGTATATATGTGTGTGTATATATATATATATATATATATATCAATATATAATATAATGTGTGTGTGTGTTATGAAATGTAAAGGGATATTGTATTTATGCTTGGGTTCTCTTCCCAAGCTGCCCCATTTTATAGATGCTATATACAAATTAAATATTAAATAGCCTGTTTTTCAAAACCTGAAAACTGAAGCCATTCTGTCCCAAGCATTTTGAATAAAGGATTCTCAACCTGCATTATATATATATATATATATATATATATATATATATATATATATATATATATAAAATAAACTGTTACATTAGAACATATAAGTATCCACTACAAAATTGTACATTACATTTCAATGTTTGAAATAAAATGTCTCTTCAGGTGATTAATCTGAAGAGACATTTTAAACGTTGAAACAAAATGTACAATTTTGTAGTGGATATTTACATGTTCTAATGTGTATAATAAATATTTATTGCTCTACTTTTGCATTGAGCACTGTTTTAATGTTTTGAATGTTGAAATTTTATTCTTCGTTCTTTTACATTTGGAGATATATATATATATATATATATATATATATATAAAAACTTGTATATGACTAGAAGAATTTGCTACACAAGGACAAGTAAATTTCTTCTTTCTGTGTCATGTACATTTGTTATGGGAAAATAGGATTTTTTGATATTTTAAATTTAATGAAATTACATAATTTGTCTTAAATTATTTTTAACTTGAAAATGTATTTCTAGTAAATGTAGCTGTAAAATATCAAAACCTTCAATATTGCAACCTTTTTTTTTTTCTTTGGAGCATTGTTAAGGATGATGAAATAGACTTGTAACTTTTTTCAATACTGCTATTATAAAATGAACAGAAGAACAATTTTTTTTTTTTTTTTTCTTCTATTTTTGTTATTGGATTCCCACCTCCATTTGTTATAAAATGAATATACATTTGTTATTGCTAGAATAGATGCCAAAATACTATGTCAAAGGGGAGGGTCGCTAAGTAGGTAAATCTATTCTAGTTGTCACCACCTCAGCCCTTTTTAAGGTTTTAAATTCAGAGTTGTCCTCTCCTAGACTATAATATATATATATATATATATATATATATATATATATATATATATATATATAAAAATGCAAATATGCTGTTTTAATGTTACTACAATGTCGACGTCAGACGTTTCAGTCTAGTAGACCTTCTTCAGGACATAGTTATTAAAACATAACATTAGACGATATTCGAGTCAACATGAAAAGACGATAGACATAAGAGTAAGACTAATCAAAACAGAATAACTGAAATTTTTAAGATCAGCATTCCGTTTCACCATTTGACCGAACGTATCTCCAATAATTTAAATGTGCTAAAAATTAAAACTACAATATTACCTACTAGAACTATCCTCAGTTTATTAAATAACACCAGCAACCAACATATTACATCCAATGCTTGCATCTACCAAATCTCGTGCAACAACTGTGACTTAAAATATGTGGGTGAAACATGTAGGTCCGTAAAATCTCATGTTTTCGAACATAAACAAGATATTCACCTCGGTAATTTAAATAATGCTTTATTTGTACACATAACTAAATCTGATCATAATTTCAATTTTGATTCTGTGAAGATTTTAAAATATATTCATAATAAAGATCTTAGACAGATTTATGAGGCAGGCATAATATCTATCTCACACACGGTGAATACTAGACCCGGCTTCTTTAATATTTCCCCTTTTCTAGCAAGATTAATGCTCGACAAACGTACTTATAAATTTTAGATTATATATACTCTATTTTAGGAATACATTTTCACAACATCGCCCACGTGATGCCGACATGATCATAGTGTGAAACGGAACACTGATCTTAAAAATTTCAGTTATTCTGTTTTGATTAGTCTTACTCTTATGTCTATCGTCTTTTCATGTTGACTTGAATATCGTCTAATGTTAATTATGTTTTAATAACTGTCCTGAAGAAGGTCTACTAGACAGAAACGTCTGACGTCGACATTGTAATAACATTAAAACAGTATATTTACATATATTTTTCTTCATACTGTCGGATCTATATCCATATATTTGTTTAGACACACACACACACCTATATATATATATATATATATATATATATAGGAAAAACATTACAAAGTGG